TTTAGAGGACTGCAATCTACTTCAAGAAGATCTGTGTAGGCTAAGTTTATATTGTCAAGCAAATGATCTTTACCTGAACATCAGGAATGTAACGTCATCTCATTTACTAGAAAAAAAGAATCCCATCCTCTTTAATTATAAGCTTAAATGACAATTTTACTAGTAAGAGTAAATGAATTGCGTGACCTTGGTGTTCAGTTGGATAGTAAGCTGGTACTGGGGTCACATATTAGTATTATAACTCAAAGAGCTTACAAAATGCTAGGTTTTTGTTATGCGTATCTCGAAAGATTTTAAACAGTCCACAACTTTTATTTTACTATTTAACTCTCTGGTGCGGTCTATTCTTGAGTATTGTTCTTCATGTTGGAATCCTCAATACAAAGTTTATATTAAAATGATTGAAGCAATTAATAAAAAATTTCTGCGTCACTTAAAACATTATAATTCATCCGTAGATTCCATTATTAAAAACTTAAACAGTAATACCCTCGAAAAACGCCGTGGGATATAAGAGAATCAAATGTTTGTTGTATAAATTACTACATAATATAATCGACTCTCCCCTACTTTTAAGCAAAGTGGAATCTTGCGTTGTCACAGATTAGGTGCACGAAATAAACCGCTTTTCGCAAATACGTAAGGCTTAAAAACGAAGTATGCTTCAAATAATTTTGTATCTCGTGCATGTAACAAGTTTAATTTAAAATATAGTAAATTAGATATCTTTCATCTTAAATATAATAGTTTTAAAAAAAAAATTGTAAATCTTAATTTATAATAGGTAGTTTTGCTGTAGGTTGTATGTATATTGTTACTTCTAACTTTTAACTGCATAATTACTTGATGTTTTATTAAGTGGTAACATTTAGTTTTTTTTTTTTTAAATTCAAAATTTTTACATAATAATGTATCATCTTATCGTGGTGGTAAGCTTTTGTTTATGTGTTGTGAATCTGTGGAAACTTGGTTGGTTTTTAGCATAACTTTTATATGTTTTAGAATGTAATTTTTTTTATTGTACTGTTTGTTTCCCTTGAAAAGCTAATAAATAAATAAAAATAAATAAAATCGTTGGAGCCGTTTCTGAGATTCAGATTATATATTGAGATATATATATATATATATATATATTTATATATATATATATACAAGAATAGCTCGTTTAAATATATAAGATATATATATAATAGATCGTCGTTGTCTAAATTGATATACATGAAGTAATAATATCTAATAACTCATTGGAATATTTTTCGCCAAACCTAACCCAAACCAAAAAAAAAACAATATATATATAATCGATCGTTCGTTGTGTAAATTGATTATACATGAAGTAATAATATCTAATAAATCATTGGAATATTTTTTCGCCAAACCTAACCCAAACCAAAAAAAAAAAACATATATATATAATCGATCGTTCGTCGTGTAAATTGATATACATGAAGTAATAATATCTAATCAACTCATTGGAATATTTTTCACCAAACCTAACCCAAACCAAAAAAAAAAAACAATATATATAATCGATCGTCCGTTGTGTAAATTGATATACATGAAGTAATAATATCTAATAACTCATTGGAATATTTTTCGCCAAACCTCACCCAAAAAAAAAAAAAAAAACAATATATATATATAATCAATCGTTTTCGTTGTGTAAATTGATATACATGAAGTAATAATATCTATTAACTCATTGGAATATTTTTCGCCAAACACCTAACCCAAACCAAAAAAAAAACAATATATATATCTAAATCGATCGTCGTTGTGTAAATTGATATACATGAAGTAATAATTTCTAATAACTCATTGGAATATTTTTCGCCAAACCTAACCTAACCAAAAAAAAAAAAAAACAATATATATATAATCGATCGTCGTTGTGTAAATTGATATACATGAAGTAATAATATCTAATAACTCATTGGATTATTTTTCGGCAAACCTAACCCAAACCAAAAAAACAAAAACTATTATATATATATATATATAATCGATCGTCGTTGTGTAAATTGATATACATGAAGTAATAATATCTAATAACTCATTGGAATATTTTTCGCCAAACCTAATCCAAACCAAAAAAAAAACAATATATATATATATCGATCGTCGTTGTGTAAATTGATATACATGAAGTAATAAAATCTAATAACTCATTGGAATATTTTTCGGCAAACCTTACCCAAACAAAAAAAACAATATATATATAATCGATCGTCGTTGTGTAAATTGATATACATGAAGTAATAATATCTAATAACTCATTGGATTATTTTTCGGCAAACCTTACCCAAACCAAAAAAAAACAATATATATATAATCGATCGTCGTTGTGGTAAATTGATATACATGAAGTAATAATATCTAATAACTCATTGGAATATTTTTCGCCAAACCTTACCCAAACAAAAAAAAAAAAAACAATATATATATAAATCGATCGTCGTTGTGTAAATTGATATACATGAAGTAATTAATATCTAATAACTCATTGGAATATTTTTCGCCAAACCAACCCAAACCAAAAAAAACAATATATATATATAATCGATCGTCGTTGTGTAAATTGATATACATGAAGTAATAATATCTAATAACTCATTGGAATATTTTTCGGCAAACCTAACCCAAAGCCAAAAAAAAAAACAATATATATATAATCGATCGTCGTTGTGTAAAATTGATATACATTAAGTAATAATCATCTAATAACTCATTGGAATATTTTTCGCCAAACCTAACCCAAAACAAAAAAAAACAATATATATATAATCGATCGTCGTTGTGTAAATTGATATACATGAAGTAATAAAATCTAATAACTCATTGGAATATTTTTCGGCAAACCTTACCCAAACCAAAAAAAAAAACAATATATATATAATCGATCGTCGTTGTGTAAATTGATATACATGAAGTAATAATATCTAATAACTCATTAAAATATTTTTCGCCAAACCTAACCCAAACCAAAAAAAAAAACAATATATATATAATCGATCGGTGTCGGTTGTGTAAATTGGATATACATGAAGTAATAGTATCTAATAACTCATTGGGAATAATTTTTTTCGCACCAAACCTAACCCAAACCAAA